GTGATCTCCTGCTCACGTGAGCATTGATGCCGTTTCTCAGCTCTGAGCTCGTGCGAGAAATTGTGGCCTTCCCTACAGAGTATATATCTACGAGGCTGGTACTAATTTTATCGACCCCCGCATTGATGATGGCCTGAGTAACCCCCACCCCGCCCGCCACCCCCCAACCAGGATTTGAACTTTCCACCTTCAGATTGGGAGCCTTTCGCTCTGCCGTTGACACACACCTGGCCAGGACGACAAACATATCGTCAAATATTTGCGCGCGCACGCGCGTGCGAGTGTGATGATCACTGCGCCACCGCTCCCCCCCTCGCCGCCTCCGTTCTTATCGTCACTGCGCATCTCTGCACGTTCCACACACCACCGTGGTGGGGGGGGGGGTGACGGGCTGGAGAGAGAGGAGAGAGAGAGGGGGGGGAGCGATGTTACGCTCTCTAAAAGTGCCGAGGGCTCGGGAATATATGACCCAATTTGCCAATTACTGTGCAGTTGCCATTTATAGGTCCGTTAAGCGGCGCAACTCAACATGACGGAGAACGTGGCGGACACATTTATATTAACACTCGTCCGTCGCGCGCAGTCGGGGTGTGTTGTTGTTCGTGGGGAGCGGTGGCGCAGCGGTTAGCGATTCAACCCCCTCGCGGTCATCCACCGGTGACGATTATCTGAACCGGTACTGGGCGTCCCCTAGGTCGACTCGGCCTCAAATGAGTACCCCCTCATGTGTCATAGGCGTTGCTGCTCGCTAACAACACTTGCCCCAACAGTCTGTTAAGGTGACACGGGAGATCTTTGAGCAACAGACGTTGTGCCCATACACATACTGCTTGATTAACAACACGGTATATATCGCTGCACATATACAGTATACATATACATACACATTCAAATAGCCTCTTTGCCCAGGCTGGTATAACCTTGATACATTTCAAGAAGTGTGTTCATAATTCTTCGATAAGAATGTTATTTGTTGCCGGTTGTTTGACGTTTTGAGTGATTGGGCGCCTGTCCTTAGCAACTGTTTTAACTCATCATCATCATCAGCCAAGATCAATAATCATCATCATCAGCCAAGATCAATAATCATCATCATCCAAGATCAATCCAGCATTCTGTATACACCAACATTGAATATCTGTGCATGGCATGTGTATATATATTTCATCATTTAAATATTAAAGTCGTAGAGTACTGCATATGAGACTTATCTACCACATACCGTCATTTAAATACCGCAGCAATGTAATATCACGTTCGTCAGAGTTTAAGCAATGTAGCGCGTTAAATGATACAGTATATGCATTTAAATGACAGTTGTAAAGCATATACAACCAGCATATAAACAAGGTTTATAGTACACTATATATAGTACAAGTATTCACGTAACCATTTGGATGGTATAATCACACTCATTTAACTAATTGTAAACATGAGCATTTATATAAAGGTGTATACAGAATAAGAATATGTTTCCAGCAGATCCGTCATCATTTTAATTCCCTTCTGTTTAATATCAATACCAGAATTTGAATAACAAGTTGTAATTTTATATATATTTTTTCACAAGATAATTTGATTGTCGGTTTGCATCGCATGCATGCACAGTGCATGTGCAAGGCTTCACGCAACCCAGTGCTGGATGAATGGCCACTCCACGCCGTGCTGGTCGGGGTTTTATATTTGTGACGATGTTGGATAAGAGGATCCCATCGATACAACCGCTTAAAACCGAGCGATTCATACTTTGGTGCTAGCATTGTGCTTGTGCTGGTCGCCACTTGGCAGCCCTTGATCGTTACTGGTGAGGCAAGGCCATAGCATAGGCTGTCCACGGTGTAGACCGATCAGTTTCAAAGACAATGCATACATACATTTCGATTTAAAGCTTTCGTGACTGCAGGGATTCATCTTCTTGGTTCTTTCGGTAAAGTCACGTAGAAGGGAAGTAATAAAATAATAAAAATAAAACGTAATAAAATAATTCTCACGACGTTTCGGCTACAACGCAAGCAGCCGTCTTCAGGTGAAGAATGAGACACTGCCAAGCTTGGAGCTTATATATAAGCTGGGTTGGAGGTGGAAGAAGAGCGCCTTAACAAAATAATGTGCATATCTTGATATGCACAAGCTTGGCAGTGTCTCATTCTTCACCTGAAGACGGCTGCTTACGTTGTAGCCGAAACGTCGTGAGAATTATTTTATTATGTTTTATTTGTATTATTTTATTACTTCCCTTCTACGTGACTTTACCAAAAGAACCAAAAAAATGCATACATATATTATCAAAGCATATGTGTGTGCTTGTTTCACTACAAGTGTGTGGATCGTGCAGTCTTGGTGCCTCGCTATGTGTGTGTCTATTTGGTGTTTTAACATCTCGACGCCTGTAATCTTGCTAGAAATTATAAAGTAGTTTTAATAGATATATATAACCAGTTGTATTGGTATATAAAGCAGCATTTGAATAGCAGTTTGTGTAGGACATGTACCAGCGTGTTTTATATATATGAGTATTTAAATTAACAACTTGTGTGGTGTATATATATGTCAATTTATACAGACTATATAAGTTGTACAACATATGTACTAGCATTGAAATAACGGTGTGTATAGCATGCGAATAAAACACCCACCATAGTGTATGATAAATGTATGTATATATAGCAGCAATTAAGTAGCTGGCTACGATACGATATATTAGCATTTCTATAACAATGTATACAGCATAGAATTCTAAAGCTGACAAGTACTTTTCACGACTAAAAATATTCTTATGAGCCACAACACTGCTTACGTGTATGAAAATATATTTTAATTTAAATTTCAGTTACCAATTTTATAATTACAACTTTTCATTAGGACGCTTCGATTACTGATCAATACAATATGTCGTTGGATACATTATGGATAAATATCACAATAATAATCATAATTTTCATTTGAAACATTATTACTGATTAATGGGATTCCCGCGGTTGCTGTTTCAGGGGGAAAAAACCCACAAGCAGTAACATGTTAGATGCAAATAAGAGTCATTCTTTCGTGATCTATTAAATCACGTTTATTAATACTGGAGAATAAAGCCGGCCGTCTGAGTTTGATTCCAAGGCACGGTGGTTCACATGCGTGCCGAGTGATTTCTCGCGGCCTTTAGCGTCACACTCCACGGGAGGCCAACTACTTGGTTCACTGATTCTGGGGACCGTCTCCTTTGTTCGTGTTTATCGCGAGACCTACATCCACGTGGCACTGTAAGCTGAGCCGGCCCTTGTGAGAGTGACGGCGATGACCCGTCACGCGGTCATCTCTGCGGTCAACAAAATTGTAACTTTATTTTTTTATTCTTCTGAATGTTCGAGTTACAAACACAGACTCTACTCTATTTGTGGCAACATTTTACCGTTCAATCCCATCGGGAACATCGTTAGAATGCCCACCGGTCACTCGGTCAGCAGCGCCTATGCATGTCACACGTAAACGTTACGTGGGTAAGATTTGGTTACATTCAGGGCTTCAACTCAGTCGGGTGGGATCGGGTCACTGACCCTGGAAAAAATGCCCTCTCCCCGGCACGCCGCAAGCAGTAAACATCTCGCTATGACTGCGGCGGGTTCCAGTCACGTGCAACAACAGAGTCCATAGTCTACCAGCGACTCGGAATATATTTGGTGAGAATTTCAATCCATCACGTCGACGAAACGCAACGCGTCTTGTTCTCTGTCAAGTTAGTATCGACACAACTGAGTGACCGTGTGTGTATTGTATCGGTTGCTCACGTGACACACAAGTTCACCACAGTTGTTCGACGTAGCAGCTGCCTCTGTGTTGGAATAGCGAACTTCACACACGCGCGCACAAAGACGAAAAAAAAAATCCCCTCTGTAGCCTACGTAGACTGTTGGGGTACATCGCTGTTTGCGAGCACCTATTGAGGCGTGGACGGCCCACACCCAGGCAGCCTCTGCTTACCCAGTGTTGATGTTTACACACATCAAGGCCGAGTCGACCTAGAGGAGGCCCAGCACCGGATCCGATATCGCTCGTCCACTGATGTTGGTCATGAGCAGGAATCGAACTCAGGTGGCTGCCTTTGTAGCGCAGCGCGGATGACACTTGTTTCAACGTCGACCTGTGTGTAGCGCACACAGACGACACACTCTCTTGCAAATGCACAGCACCTAACCGCAGCTCTCGTAATTCCAACACACAAACAACGGCCGCATTATACACCACACAAGCCTCACACATGGCAGATTACACTCATATCACGAGCAACGCATGCGGGTATGAACACACACACACAGAGCACCATCAACGCGAACACACGCCCTGTAAACACACGTCCATAGAGTGAACAACGTCTCACACGCATACAAATACAAAGATCCCCCGCGTAGCCTTACTATGCTGTTGGGGCAAGTGTTGTTAGCGAGCACCTATGAAGGCCGGCACGGCGCACGAGGCGGGAGGATGGCCAGTACCGCGGCCGACCGCCTTTGTCTCCCCAGTGACGATGTTTACACACCACACACCAGATACTCGTTTGAGGCTGAGTCGATCTAGGGGAGACCCGGGACCGCTTCAGATATTCGTCACTTGTGACCCAGAGACAAAGATCCCCCATATAGCCAAGTACTGTTAGCGAGCACCTATGAAGGCCGCAATTGTCCACGAGGGGGTGGGTGGCCAGCACCACGCCCGACCGCCTTTGTCTCCCCAGTGTCGATGTTTACACATCGCACCAGGGGCTCATTTGAGGCTGAGTCGACCTAGGGGAGGCCCGGGAACGGTTCAGATAATCGTCACTGGTGTTGGCCGTGAGCAGGAATCGAACTCGTGTCACCGGGTTCATAGCGCAGCGCGCTAACCGCTACACCACCGCTCCCCACACACGCACACACACACATACACACACGCGCACATACACATGCCTCCCCTTCCCGCCCGCGTGGCGCGTGACCCGGTGCGCGTGTCCCCGTGTGTGTCGCGCGCCCCAGCAGGGAAGACCCGCACCAAGGACAAGTACCGTGCCGTATACTCGGACCACCAGCGCTTCGAGCTGGAGAAGGAGTTCCACTTCAACCGCTACATTAACATCCGCCGCAAGGCCGAGATCGCCGCCTCGCTGGGGCTCACCGAGCGCCAGGTAATTCGTAACGAACGCCCGCCGCGGTGGCTCGGAGATGTTAACTGCCTCTCCTGGTATACAGGATGGCCGTGGGTTCGATCCCGACACTGACGCCTGCTGCTGTATATTTGGAGTTTGCGTGTTTCTCTCCCCGTGGTCCCGTGGATTTTTCTCCAGGTCCTCCTGTTTTTTCCCTCCACATTTAGAACCGACGTCACGCGTTTAGGGCATCCTGGCTGCTGCTGTACATTTCCACGCGATGAGCCACTTCCTTGGGCCATCGTTTGTGGCAAGGTGGCTTCTGGTAAAATAAAAAAAATAGTTTAATATGTACACAGCAGGACCGGAACTCGCGTAGGGGCAGTGGCAATGGTGGAGCCAGGATTTTCAGGTAGGGGGGGCAACCCCTCCAGCAATGAAAAATGATAGAGGAGTTGTTAGTAAGTAAGGACCAATTGGGTCGAGGCTCAAAAGAAATGCGTCCCTTGGTGTGGACCAATCAGTTTCAAGGACAATGCCAATATATTATCATAGTGTGTTTTTTGTTTGCATTTTAACTGCAAGTATTGTGACTAATGCAGACGTGAATCCTTGTAAAAAGGTTTCAGTTTTGTTGCTAGAAAAAAGGGGAAAACCCCTAGATTTGAAGCTTTCGTGACTGCAAGGATTCATATTCTTAGTTTTTTCGGTAAAGTCACGTAGGTGACTTTATAGCACGATAGCTGTATCTTACTTGATACAGCTATCGTGCTGTGACGGTTCCACCTGAAGACGGAAGCTTGTGTTGCCTCAGAAACGTCGTGATTTTTATTTTATTTTACTTTTATTAATTTTAATTTAATTTTTTTACCTACGTGACTTTACCGAAAAAACTAAGAATATGGGAAAACCCCTATTTTTATTATACTCCCCACCTCTTCCAGCGCGTCTCCCCGCCGTGGCCGAGTAGACCAAAACCGCCGTCTGGAAGGGGGCTGTCTCGAGCTCCCTCTGGCGGAGGCTCTTCCGCCAGCAGTGACGTGAGCGAGACATTGCAGGGCTGCGCCTTGTCCCTTTCCTTCACCGATAAACCACAATACGTTGCGTACGTTGAACTTCTTTCGCACCGTACGAATCCGACCACGCTAATCGGAGGTGCGGGGAGGGGGGGGTCGGGGGAGGAGGACAACAAACTAAACACAAAAAGCAGTTTTAAAGAAATTAATTTTAAATCTAGATGATTTAAAAGTGCATCGCTCCAGTGGCCTCCGAATATTGACCCACGTGCCGGCACGCTTCCAGTGGCCCAATCGTGTGGGTGAGGGCGTCTCCGAATGCTCACGCCTGCTCAGAGACGTTGCGACGAGCATTGATTTGCCACTCTGCTGCCCTGCCTTTGTCCTCGATGTTGATGTTGTTGTTGTTGTCGTGGTTCCTTTGTGTTCAGTGTGATCTCACCTCGCTGGTTGTACCTCCCGTGGCACGGATATAAACGTGCCCGCCGTCACTCTCGCCCCGCCCGACTCCCACGTGTCGCTCGACTCCCGTTATGGTTAATCTTTACACAATTAAGCTATTGTCAGCCGCGATACCAAAAACGCATTGGCCGCATGATTTATTCCATTCGAGGGCACAACAGGCCACGGGGCGTCTCTTTTTTTTACTGCGGCTCTCTCCCGTTGGGAGAAATTAACACTGGCGCGCCTGTGTGTGTACATATATGTGTGTGTGTATGCACACTGGCAGATCCATGTATAGATACCCCACTAAAACAATAGGCAGGTATTTATAAGGAAGACAACATTCGTTGCTTTCTCATCGTATAAGCCTCGGCATCCATCAGCGCTTTCCCGTCAATCCGTGGGGAAGCCTGTCCGCTGGGACGCAGGCCGCGGCACGGACTCCCTCCAGCGTGGCATCATCGCGAACGTGACCGGGGAACATCACCTCCACGGATACAACGCGAAACAGATGACTTGCAAAACACCGCGTTGACTGTAGGGGTCTGCATGCACGTGCTCTATCATCTGTGGATTGTAGCCTCGGTAACCTGGGGGAGAGATTGGGGGGGACCAGTGGTGTTGATTTGGCGGGGGGGGGGGGGCATACCCAACAAGTTCAGAGACCACTGCTCTCAGTGTCTGCCACCGATCTCAAGCCACGTGAATGATCGTTGCACGCTTCGTCCGACGCAGCCGACAACCAACCCGTGATGTGTAAATGTGAGGTTTTCGATAGCACCTGTTGAATGGAAGCCAGTGGGGTATCTATAGATGACTCGCCAATGGCATGTGTCACGTAGACCAGTGTATACATGTGCTTAGGTTTTAATTGTCGTCAGCCATACGTTCTCACTGCTGGCTGGCAACACTGCACAGCGATCGACGAATGAAAAGGCACTCCCTGGCTGAAGCGATCACGGTGGCATTCGAAGGCAGTGGGAAGGAGGAGCGCCGTTACTCGATTGGCTAGGAGGGTAAAGTTAGGGATGATGGTCAGAGGGAGAGCGAGTGCTAATAATGGTTGGGTGGATATTTGGTTCGGATTAGCATCACAGGGAGGGCTCGTACTAGCGACCGGTTTGGTTAGGTGTTAGGAGTAAGGTGATGGTCGTTGGTTGGGTTAGTTATAATGGCTACTTAGCTAATTGGTTAAGGGGTAGTGATAATATTAGTGGCTGGCTGACTGGTCAATTAGTGTTCGGGTCATTGGGCAGCCTGTATATTTGGAGTGTAGATGTTCTCCCCATGGTCGTGTAGATTTTTCATTTTGAAACAACCCTTTCGAGTATTTAGCTGCTATACATTTATACACGATGAGCCACTTCGTTGAGCTATCATTTGTGGGGAGGTCGCTTCTGAAAAATAGCTATACAGCTCAGTGGGCCTTACCTGCTCAAATAAAAATAGCTTTCCTGTAGTGTTTGGGTCATTGGTATGGCGAGTACAAGCGGCCAGTTGACTGGCCAATTATGATTCGTGCCATCATTTGACTGAGTTATTTGCTCCATTCCAAGACTGCAAGCCCCTCAAGCCCTTTGTCACAATATCGGAGTTCGAAGCGTTCCGGCTGCTCCCCGTTCCCGGTATCCACAGCGCCGCTCACCTATCTCGCCGTTCTCCCTGTCGCACACGCGCAGGTCAAAATCTGGTTCCAGAACCGAAGGGCGAAGGAAAGGAAGTTGATCAAGAAGCAGCTGCAGCAGCAGCAACATCAACAGCAGCAGCAGCAGCACCAGCAGCAGCAGCAGCAGTCGGTGATCCAGACGGCGATCGTGACGGGTCACGATGGCACGCTGCACGATCCCGATTCTCTGGTGTCCGTGCCGGGCATGAACGACGTGCACGTGGTCAACATCGAGACGGTGCAGCGATAACAACGCGGACGCACCACTCCCGCCCGCTCGCCCGCCCGCCCGCTCGCTCGCTCTAAATATATAAACGCACGCAAAGAATCTCCGCGACAGCGGCAGCAAAGACGCTGTACCACACGCACGCACGCGCGCGCACAAGGCGGCGACGGGAAGAGAAGCGAACTACCTGGGAAGGCGCCCAGCGCAAGCGTACAGATCACGCGAGTAAGTCACCCCCGTTGGCGAGGTACAGACACAAGCAGGTGATGGACGGCTCCAGACGACTCCTCTGGTCGTGTGAGAGAATCACTGCCAGGGCCAAGTGGCGGCTCCTCGTGTGTGTGTGTTTTGGTGCACCTCCCAGGAAATTTAACAAAAATAAATGGGGGGTGGGGGGGATTTGGATGGGGGGGCCTGTGGAGGGGGGGGCACCACGCAACTGCCGAGAAGAGAGAGAGCTGCTGCTACTGCTGCTGCTATGGGTAAGGCGTTGGGGTGTTTGCAAACTCTGCTCGCCACCACCGGCAGATGGAGAAGATGGGACGACTGCAACGAGAATTGCGAGGGGTTTCACTCCACCCTCTCCCAGCCACACGTCGATTTGCACGCGGTAGCATCGATGAAGATCTGATTTAAAACAAAACAAAAAAAATTGTGACTTTATGCATTTCCTTTGACGAAGAGCGTTGTAAATGTATAGCTGCGTGTGTGTGTTTTAATGCTTGTTTGTTTGGTTTGTTCTGCTCGTTTTTGAGAGCACGTGGTTTGGTTAATCATAGCAAATAACGGAATAGAGCTCTTCTTATCTGCTGTAACGTGACGGGGGTGGGGTGGGGGGTGAACATCGCGGATCCTATTATGCGCGAACATATTCTAGATTAGAGCGGATAATAGGAAGAATCGGTGCCGTGGATGATAGGAGTGATTCATGGACCCAATGGCTCACGGATAGGAGGAGTCGCGAGTAATATAGTTGTGGATAAGAGGAGTTCTAACAGACACCCTCGTGGTGACGTTTGACCTGTGAATACAGCTTTCCCTGTCGATGTTGCACAGCTGCATGATGACTCGTTTCTATAAATAGCCGAGTAGTGCTTCGGCCATCAGAGACGGAACGCTCTTTTTTTCTTCTTCGTTACCTCTCGTTATACATAATTAACATTACAGTATAGGCCTCTGCAATAGCCCCCGTACCTTGATTGATCATTTTATATATTTAGGGCCATCCTTTAAAAATGGAAGATGTGGCTGTAAGAGTAAAGTGCTGTCTGCTGCAGACATGAGAGGCAGTCTAGACGACTTTATACTGATCCACGTCTACTCATCTGCACGTGCAGATCAATACCAGACGAACTAAGATGATGGTTACGTGGTATAATGGTTATATGGATGGCTGGAAGCTTCGCTTGAAAAATGACCATCTTGGAAGCACTAACAACTTTTGACTGATGGCTTAAAAATTGCACAGCGGTCACGCACGAGAGTTGCCTTTGACAAGTCATGTAAACTTTAATTGAGATAAATAACCACGAAACAACTCAACACACTCGTCAACAACACCGAATTATTTGTTTAATATAGATAAATAGGTGGATGACCTCACAGTCCGTGGAGGCCAGAAACCTTTTATGAATATTTTCTTTTTTGTAACGAACAAGCGAAGTAATACATCATTGTTAAATAATTACGGTCATTTTCTTTCAGCGCCTTGTCAATCCACACTAATGATGTCGCTTATCGGGGTTGTTTGACCATACTTCTCCACGCTGGTCAACGACGATGGGTAAAAGGGACCAGTGATGGTGTCAACTCGTCAATTATGTGTTAGCCGTGGCCAGGAATCGAACTCAGGTTTGCCCAGGCTTATACTGCTCCACTCCGAAGTTAAATTTCTTATCCTGAAAATGTCATGCAAATTGGAGCGCAGTCCAGAATAATCTTGATAGAGGCCAATAATAATCGCGTACCTATTTAAGATAAATACTTAGAGCCTCAGTGACTAACAGTAAAACTAAATATATACGAGTGCCGTGGCTATAAATCCAACCACTATTACGTGTAAAGTTATCTTCGCCCTGCTGATAAGATCCAAAAGGTCGAATCCATTCCAGACATGGCATGTTCGACCAAACGATACCGGATAACGTGGGTCGCGAAGGATGATTGTTTGGCCGATGAACGAAAAAGCAAAACGTTATATATCTATATATTCTACTACGTGGAGAAACAGAGCTGAACTCATCATTTTTGTTTTGTTTACAAGATGAAGACATGCATCGACGTCATGCAGCCTCCCTCCCATCCACTCCGCTGTTGAGACCCAAGAGGTTGTGGTTGTAAAAGTCTTTTTTCTCTCTCTCTCTCTCATTCGGTTAAATATTTAAACGTCTGACAAAACAACTGATTTGCTCGACTGCATGCGACGTCTGTGACACGCGCACGCACTCGCCTTGTGGCCAAGACCTTTCTTTATCGCTGAGCATGTGGACAGTGACAGATGCCCTTTAGAAAGCTTCGGCAGATGGTTATTAACTGACAGAACCTCAGCTCCAACCAGGTGAGAGGGCCCATTGAGAGCGAATGTAAGACTTCAGTTACAAGAGCATGCACAAAAGTGTATCGCCTGCTATACTTGGAGTCGTGGGTTCGATCGCGACCCTGACGCCTGCTGTATATTTGGAGTTTGCGTGTCTCTCTCCCCGTGGTCGAGTGGATTTCTCTTCGGGTCCTCGGATTTTTCTCTCCACATTTAGAACCATGCGTTGAGAGTATTTGGCTGTTGTAAATTTGCACGTGATCAGCCACTTCATTGAACTATTATTTGTGGCCAGGTTGCTTCTGAATAAAAGCTGTATAGCTCAGTGGTAAAATAAAAAAAATAGTTGAATGTATGTTGAACTTCTTTTGCACCGTATTTAGCCAACCGTGTTAATCGGAGGTGTGGGGGAAGGACAACAAACTAAACACAAAAAGCAGTTCGAAAACAACGCAGGTATGTGCGACGTACAATGAAGCATGCCGACAAGAACAACAACACGAGGCTCATTGAAACATTACGAAAATCAGTTGTTGATCTATTTTCGGTCTCTCTCGCGTTAGTTTCTGTTGGACGTTGCTGTAACGCAGGGTTTAATTTCTCACGGAATATATCCAGGTGACCCCCCCCCCCCCACTGCCCCCCCCTCCCCACCCCCTCCTGGAGGAGAAATATTTTCCGGAGCTCAGCCCCATCTCTCTCCAACCCCCCTCACTTCCCCTCCCCCGCACAACTCCAGCTATAATTAAATCCCTGGTTGTAAGGCACGCGCTCCGAACACCATCCACTCCTGGGGTATTTTGCTTGTTTGTATTTTAAAGTGCTCAATAGGACACCGTGTAACACATAGGACACACTGACCACCGCACTCACTGCCCAGTCTCAAGAGAGAAATGCAGGGTGGGCCAAAAGTCAGGACACATAGGGTTATGATGTTTATTTTCGCACGTCGCATCGGTTGATTTAGTTTACTTAAAGTAATGTTCAAACTGACTTGAATTTATATGAATGCATGCGTGCATGAATTATCGTTGGAAATTAATGTAGGACATTTTTTTAGATTTCAGCTGCCTTCTTTAGCTTACATAAAAACATCGTTTGTCTTTCGTACATTTTCTTTAAATTTGTATGTCATCTGAAAAGGAATAAGAAGAAAATCAGATATGAATAACGATAATAGATACAATATTCAATTAAAGAATAAATAATTACTGTGTTATAATGTCAGTGCTTAAAATAAATGAAATATCCATGTGTCTTGACTTTTTGGCCACCCTGTATAGAATATGGCTCGCATTCCCGTTTCAGCCCAATTGTGAACCTTAAACACGGACATGGGAATACATTTTAAAGTAACATAAGTGTATCATCAAAATCACGTGAATCTACTTACGTGGCAATGGTGATGATGATGATGATAAAAAGTCCCAGGTATTTTGTTTTCTTACAATGAAAAAATATCAAACGTCCCTTGGCTGTTCTGTTTTCACAAGGGAAAATATATATATATAATACGAAGAATGTTGCATTGTTTTATGCGAAACAACGTCAATTAAACAGAACTTTTAAAAACGCGTTGCTTTATTTACAACAACATGATGGGGCATAGAAAAACTTTCTTGTAATGTCCCAGTAAAGATACAATTATTCGAGGTTAACTTTTGAAAATGTAACAATAGACCAAAAAAAAACGATTAAGCAATCAACATGAACATCGGTCACAGCAATTTTAAAACTCGCATGTATATACATATATATACCGGTGAATATTATATGCACGTACAAAACGTCTTTTACAATAAAAAATAATACAATTTACATAGGCCTATAAATATACGTCAATGTATACAGGTTATCTTGCTTGAGAGAGTAACCACGGCCCTATAGAGCCAGTGGTTTTGATCCTTTAATAATATCACAATGGACGTCTCAAACTAACTGAATTGCGTTGAGAATTGGACGCAGTAAGTTATATAATGTATATAGGGTACATATGTGTGTGTGTCAGTGTACAGTATGTCGATTTCAGACTTTTACAAACACAGATTATCGGCCAACTGCTGCTGCTACTGCTGCGAATAACTTGCTCGCGTCCCGTTGCGTCTAACATACTTTTAACTATTAAAAACAGAACGGTATATTACATGGGAAATGCGATTAATTGATGTCTCTCAACTGCTACAAGCCCATATACAGGGGTGAAGCATGTGTGTATATATACCCCACTGATATTATATGAAGATTTGTTTTTTTCGATTTAAAGCTTTCGTGACTGCATGGATTCATATTATTGGTTCTTTCGGTAAAGTCACGTAGAAGGGAAATAATAAAATAATATAAATAAAACATTATAAGATAAAATTTTTACGACGTTTTGGCCACAACGTGACTTTACCTAAGGTTGGCTGCTTGCGGTGTGGCCGAAACGTCGTGAGAATTGTATCTTGTTATGTTTTATTTTATTTCCCTTCTACGTGACTTTACCGAAAGAGCCAAGAATATACTATGAAGAATGATTCTTATTTCGAAGCCTCTACGTGTCTCCCACCAATCACACTATACGTGATACATATTTGAGAGTCCCCTCCGTGATGTATGGAGCCATCACTTTCGCAATGTTCAGTCACCTGTTGATAACATGTTGAAAAAGAGGGTCATTATGAATCGGTGGGGTTAGCTATAACTGGATCGCACTGTATCATTGCAGCTCGTTGAGTGATTTACTGTGAGAACGTCAGTGAACTGAGTTTCTCTATCGCTGGATATAGCCCACTAGGTATGCCCTCAATTAGTAGCCGTTATTTGGAAGATATATGAATGTTTATCGGTATC